ACATTTGCAATTAAAAAAAAAAAAAAAGAAAGAAGCTCGAACGTCTAATACGAACCATCCTCGCTCTGCGTCATTCTTTATTCGATCTTCTTTATCGATCGACGCAATCTCTCAATTTCATCTCGCTTCGTAAAACAAAAACTGTTACCCCGAGATCCCTAAGGAAGGAAACGAAACTGTCTTCTTTCAAGAGCCTTTTCAACTCGATCCTCGTAACGAGGAATATTTGGAAAATATATCGTAATTCGTTGTTTCGAAAAGAGGGTAGACAAATCTCCACGGACGCAGGGACGTTATCAGGATTAATAAAGCTGGCTTTAAACCTACCTGCCACACTTTGCCAAGAAGGCGTGGAGGAATAAACTAAACTTTTCGTATACAATCTTGGGACAGGCAGTTTCGTTTCCGCTCGAAATCCGGGAACGCGTTCCACGCGAAACTCCACGCGAGTTTATTCTGCGAAATCCGAAAAACCGCGCGTTTATTCCTCTGTATTTATTTACGAGCTCTGTTGTCTATCACGAGATCTAACGAGGTCTACACACCTTTAAACCTATCTTTTCCTCCTTCCGTCCGTGAGTAAGTATCGAGGTTAGGCTCTCGTTTCATCCGCGCGTCGATACTCGAGGCGACAATATATGTGTGTATATATATATATATATATACGTTTTCCACGAGGCGATACAGGCGAAGAAGTTGAAAAGAAAATTTACGACCTCTCCCTTTAACCTTCGTCCGTTGGAGTAATGGGCGCGAAGCGATATAAAGGGAGAGGGGATGGTTGATTGAATTGTAAACGCGGACACGGGGTTAGACACGGGTAGATGGATACGGGTCGAAATCTCGCAGCCTCGATTTTGTGCCCGTCGCGTTTCGAAGGGGGGAGGGGGAGGAAAGAAATTCGTTGGGACGAAATTAATTGGAATCGGTCGGTGAGAGCGGGGTGAGGGGCCCTCGATACACGCAAACACGTATTGGACACCTTTATCGGGGCCACTAATCTATTAAGGCGAGCCGTGGAGAAGGGCGAAAGCTCGAATTTATGCCGCGACTACAAATCTTGGCTTGGCCCGACGCGCGGAGAACCGAGCGGAGTTGAAAACCACGTAGAACTGAAACCATCAGACCCTCTTCCTCTCTCCCTCTAGAGAGCCTCCTCGAGTTCCAGATTCTACGGTAATCGATTGCCAGACGAAAACACCTCTATTAGAAATCCACAACCGTCTTACGAGCCACGAAGCTCGTCGGCCAGGGTAGAAGTAAATCTTGGTTAATGGTCTATACTTGTAGCGCCGCTGGCAACAACAACAACCTACCCTTCTTTCTCCCTGAAAGAATTAACTACTAACAAATAACATTCGGGTCGGAGATAACATCGAAACAATCGAGGGAGCCAGCACCGACGCATCCGGCTCCGTTCCCACNCACTCTCCCTCTCCCCTCTCGCTTTTCACTTTAAATCAGATTAATGGCGTGTCTACGTTAACAGATCTATATACAGAAAAGAGTATAAAGGAGAATTTTCATTTCGAAAACATCGACGTCTCGTATATTTGCCCAACCAAGTTCGACTTGCCAATCTATTCGAAAGTGTAAGCGTGTAAAAAAAGAAACGGGGTACGAAGAGGAGAGGCATACACAATTACGTAAAATGCGTAAAATGAAACATATAATGCGTAAGAGACACGCAGAAGAGAGAGAGAGAGAGAGAGAACGAAGCATCATGCACGAAACAGAAAGGAGAGAAGGCGAGGAGAGGAAGAAGGAGGGGAAGAGGTAAGACAGGATGCGGAGGTAAGAGCGAAAGAGAAAGCGATCGAAACGCTTAAAGAGCCACGGGGGTGTTGAACAGCGTTCCGCACTCGAGGACGAAATGGCCTCCCCGCCGCTTTATCGAAACGGCGGGGAAAACCAATCCTCTCTCCTCTCCCTCTCTCTCTCTCTCTCTGCGCCTTCGCTCGCCTTTCGCGTATATGCGCCTACATTACCTTCGATCCGCTTCTCTGCGAGCCCTGGCCGGCCCCTACACCCACCGCCGCTCCCTCGCTCGCACCGACCGACCCCCAACCTCCCTTCGACCTCCACCCTGTACCAACGTGTTCGCCATCTCTCCTCCTCGAACCGAACCACCCCGCCGAGCAGTCGCTCCCTGTGTTCCAGCCCGACCGCAACCCTCAGGAATTTCATTTCGTATGCCAGCCTAATTATACGCCGCAGTTTTACACGTTTCCCCATCCACGCGTCCCCTTCTTCTCTTCTCTTCTTTTCTGTCGTTCCATCCCTCTCTCTCTTTCCCCAATCTTTCGAGAAACGAAGAATTCGATCCTTTTTTAGCGGGAAAGGAAATTTTAATTTCGAGGAATGTAGACGTAAAATAGCTCGAGAGGGATTAACAATGAATTTGAAAAGCGTATCGAACGAAACGATTAAAAATAAGAACGATATAAATTCCGAAAA